CCATGTGTATAGAAGCTTTGGCCTGAATAGGATCCACTTTGTACACTTCGAAGAAAGAAGAGATCAAAGTTTCTACTTCTGTTTACATCTTGTCTCTTGTTTCTTTATTTGTCCTGAGATGATATTTGCAGAATCCTTTGGTCTCTTCATGGAAAACGCAGTCGAGGAGGAAATCAAATTACTGAAAGAAACAATTCAGTAAAATGGATCCTCACTGACCTTTTGACCTTTCTGGCTATTTTGGAAGAACGTGGAGTCCTTTCCTAGCTTGAAAGATATGGATGGAGAGCTAAAACAGCTGGTGTTTGTAGGTTTTGCTCAAAGACAGTGCATGGAATTGGGAAGAGAGAGAAAAATGGAGGCCAAAAGCCAACAAAAGAGTTGGGAGACTCCCTGGCACCAGTGGGGCATAGGTTTCCTGAAGGAGTTGGATGTGGCAGGGATAAGCTGCAAGAACGGTTCAAGCCAAAGGTTCTGCACGAAGATGTCCTCTCTCTCTCAGGATTAGAAAACCCTGCCTTTCATGCTTACAGAAGCTGGGGACTATAAATGCTGTGGATCTCTCTGACATACAAGATAGAATTCCAACACTTTTGTATTCCAAGCAGCCAATCATGAAACATGAGGTTGATGTTTGGCCATCAGTATTTGGAATGCGACTCAGCTGTTGTGAAGCCATTTCTGGGTGCAGGAGACTTTTTGAGAGAAAAGGTGGGGCAACTTGCAAGACCAAGTCATGTTTGGGGGATAACCTTATCCTCCATTAACTCAATTCCATGTTGGTGGTGGATAATTAAACTTGCAAGACCAAGTCATGTTAGAATTTTAAGAGTCACACATGTATAATTAAATATATTAAGTTATTATTTTAATTAGTCAAAATTAAAGTGATCTAATTAAAATAAAATTATTTGACTAAGGAACATAATTGTTATGAAAATTAATTATGTGGATACCATCATGTTCCTAACTTAATGACGAGATAAGTTAAGAATATGAAACTCTTGAGGCATAATTGCAGATTCATCAATTATGAATACAATCATAATTGTAGATTCATCAGTTATGACTATAAATAAGGTTATGGTCCCCGATTGCAGTATCAAATAAAGTTTCTCTTCACCCAAAGAGAAATCTAAAGTTCAAAAGGTACTCTACAATTGGAAGACTAAATCACTGATTTATTCAGAAAATATTCTAATAGATTCATCAGGTACGCTTCCGTGTTAATATGTTTATCAATTGTTGTAGGATTTTATGCATATTATAGTAGATTAAATAAGTTTTATGGAAATATTTTTAATCCATTATTTTGGATCTATAAAGTATATTTTTGAATCAAGATGATGGATTTGATTCTATAAAACAATTGTTTGATCCATATTTAATATGTTAAAAAGAACTCCAACAGATCAATTATATATATATATAACACTTGGATTGAGTCGAGAAGATATTATCAATGCACCTTGGAATTGATTTGGATATCATCTAAGCGAAATGAAGGATTGGATTGGTTGAATCATTTAATCATCAAGGAAGACTATTTCGAATGAATGCCATCTGAAATAACGAGAGATGTGTGAGCGAGTTAATATGGGATAGATCTCAATCTCATATGCACGAATTGAAATAAGCTACAACAATGATAATGGAGTTTTTGGAGCTCATGTCCACTGTTTTTAGTGGTATTGCATCTGGTCTCAAGTGGGACTATCATCCTCTTCATTTCACTGATGGTGTGGATGATTTATGTGTATGAACTATGTAGATTCGAATTTAAAGATATTGAGACATTTTGACTTATGAGATAAAGCCAATATCTCGTATAAAATATTAATTCTTTTATCAAAACATGACTCCATCAAGTTTAATGCTTCTTGTATCTTTCTTCTTTTTCTTTAAGAAATACAAAAATGTTAATAGCCAATTAATTGTAAGAATAAACTATACAATAACAATAGTAAAATTGATGAGTGGAAACCCACACCACATCATCATTCTGTGGGTCTGATGTTATATTAGTATCAATAAGAATATCTATTCATTTTACTGAATTGTTTCTTTCAGTAATTTGATTTCCTCCTCAACTGGGTTTTCCATGAAGAGCCCAAAGGATTCTGCAAATATCATCTCAGGACAAATAAAGAAACAAGAGACAAGATGTAAACAGAAGTAGAAACTTTGATCTCTTCTTTCTTCGAAGTGTACAAAGTGGATCCTATTCAGGCCAAAGCTTCTATACACATGGAAGTAGCCTCCTCCATCCTCTTGCACAATAGGAACAGGAATGGTGATACATATATCCATCTCATGAATTAACTTTTGACGATACTTAAAAAAATAAATAAAATTAATCATACGCTTATTGCGTGTAACACCACTAATTAATCATACGAACAAAATTAAAATTAACTTAGAAGAATATGATGAGTGTATTATTATTAATTTTAGTTTAACCGTTTTGTCAGTGGTTTAAACCAAACAAAGTTGATGGGTCATTTAACCCATCAAACCCGGGTCATAACATTTGATATCAAAGTCGATCTAGTATTTAAGTATGGTAAGAGAGCTCAAGTAGGAAAGGACTACGTGAAGTCACCATTAAGTTACGTCTCACATGCATTATGCTAATATTTAATTTAGATTATGTTAGTCGGGTCTTGACGGGTTTAGACCAAACGAAGTTGATACACGTTCTGTACACCTGACGTAATTCTTATTTTTTAATCCCTTATTCACTTGATGTCAAACATAAGGTAAATATGTAAGATCTACAGGAACAAATAATACCTGCTAAAAAAAGGTCAATTTTTGTAACATGCAGAATTGGTTTAGAACAACTTGTGATGCATGCATGGAAGATATTAAACATGGAAACATGACAGTTTGTCTTCCTCATCTCTGAGAGAAGTTGTGTTTTTTTGTTCTTCAAGCAGGTTGGTAGGTTTTCACGGCCACCCAAATGTGAATTGAACATGGTCTTCACTAGCCAGCTTCGTTGAGAGATGGCTCCTATCAAAGTCATCATTTCTGGTTACAGCAAGTTGTGATGCATGCCGCATGAAGAATATGAAGAATCTGATGTCCATGAATCCTGCACTTGGATTTCTCTTTTCTGAAACCAAGTGCTAATTTTTATTGGAGAGAAAGTTCAATCTTTCCTGTAATACCTCGGTTAAGTTTGATATGGACAAAAATTTAGATGGGTATCACATGTATATTATTATTATTATCATAGACTTAACAACTATAGATTAGTGGTCCAGACTTAATAAAATAAATACATCCATTATCGTAATAATTGATATCTGACTAACTTAGTATTAATCATATATTAGAAGTCAGACTTAGATTAGCTTATAAAAATCTGAGTAGCGTACTGTTATTCAGTTGACCTGAAATTATTTTCGAAAGTCAAAAAGATCAATCTATTATATTTATATCTTTAAATTAATATATGGATAGCTTATTTGATTATGGATCATATTTAATTATGTATACTATAGATCTGATTGGATTCTGACAATGATTATCAATCAATAGAAAGAAAATTCAATTGTAATAAAATTTCTTAAAAGATAATCTTGATTCTCCTACTTATTTATTCTAGATCCTTTGCTTTTACCTATATATAAATATAATCTCTTAGGAAGAGAAAAAAATATGAGTCTAGTTCTCCTTATATATCGACATCGTTACGACGATATTCTTATAAATCAAATAAAGATTTTTCTAAATAGTATTAAAAGGTACGTATCGTAAATCTGATTTATTATTATTTGATTTCAATCATGACATTAAAAAATTTTCATATAATATATAGTATTTCATGACACTATCGTGTTTGTAGGTTCACAATAGCAAATAATGGATTCAATTAATCCTTTAGAGTAGATGATTGATACTACTACACCTCTCCCTTTCTCTATAACCAAATTGGGGCGGGATTAGTCCCAATTCAAGAAAATGACAACTTTAATATAGTTATTAGCCACTTGGGATTAATTAGCCGCTATACCTTTAATAAAGCGACGCTACAACAAGAGAGTTGTTTAATTGCTAGTAGTATGAAATGGAGACTCTAATTAATGCGTCTTTTCGATTGATAGGCTAACGATGGTGATAATTAGGATGGACACATGTGGTGATAACTTCGAATCTTGAAACTCTACTTAGCTAGCCTTGCCAATCTAATGTCCATGTGTTACTTCGTCTCCAACCTCATTTCAATCTCTTCTATCTTAAACCCTTTTCTTTTTGTTTTTTTGATAATAATGAGTGATTGTCGTCATGAAATAATTGACTCATTTACTTGCCAAATCTTTATACATTGTGTTGATGGAATAACGAGTGATCGTCAAATCTGACTTGATGAAATAATTTATTTATTTATTTATTAAATCTTTATATTCTTATGATGTGGCGTAGATCGGAGTGTTACAATGGATTAAAAAATAGAGATTATGATTATTTAGATTATAAATGATGATCCATTAATAGATATAAAATTATCATAAATGATGAGTCGTATTCCATATCCAATACTAGGTTTATTATAATATTATTAATCATGATTTGATTCGACAACATAAATGATGTATTAATTTGATGACCTAAATCACATGATCTAAATTATTTAAGATAGATAAAATTAATAATAATAGACTCTATTATGATATTACGATGGTGTATAAGATAAGTTGAAAGTTCAAAACCTCATTGAACTTTCTATCTTTAAAATCTTATTCTATGTATTTTATATCTAAATAATATTGATCACAAATGAGACCGGCCACTATAAATAGTCTATCTAACCCTAATATTTATCATTATAAATGGTCTAATACTTACTATAATATATTGGAAAAGGCAAGCCGACGTTTTCCTGTAATTTGCCAAATGAGAAAAAGCAAAAGCATGAGAGAAAGCATATCGATCCGAGTAAAGTAATCCTCTACCTTATGGAATTCCATAGGGTAGCAAACTACAGCCGCCACCTTTCCGTCCGTGGACGACTACCGCAGTAGTCATCCTCGTTACGGAGTTCCAAAAGTGTTAGAGAGAGAGAGAGACGTCTCCATCTCTCGACATCATATTTCACGTCCTTCGTCACTTTCTTTCGTTCATCCTCTTCTTCAGCGACGAAATGGAGGGGTGCGTGAGAGAGAAAAGGCCACGGCCGACGCAGATCGCAGCGAGTGAGGGAGATGATCAAGAGGAAGAGATGGGGAAGTTCTACGCTGTGCTTGCAAACATCAGAGCAGCGAGAGATGATCTGTCGAGGACAACTGCGACCAGGAGGCTGAAGAGGGAGGCGGTGCCGCTTTGGAAGCCGAGGTTCGTGATGGAGGACTTCCGCCATGGCAGGGAAGTTGAGAGCTCGGTGGCGGGGGCATCGGATCCTTGGGAACAGAAGACAGGAACTGAGAAGGAAAAGGAAGGAGTAGGAGAAGAAGAGAGGAATTTGGATCTCAGTCTCTCTCTCAAATGCTTGTAATTAATCCCACTGCTCCATCACTGAAACGAGACTTCTCTCACTCGAAATATGTAGTTATCATTCCTCCAATGTGTATGAAGAACCTGCTTTTTTATATTAATTTAAGGTGCATTATACGCGATATTTATGCATCTCTTTCCTGTTTTACATCAGTGCATGATGTCATGACCCCTGCGACGTGCAGCAGCACGTACGCAATACGTGGGCTTATTGGATGGTCTGAGATGGACCACATCATCTGATAGGCCCATGCAATCGTGTCCGGTCATGGCTTGACTTGCCCTGTACCAGTTCGAATTATTTTGGATTCACGGGTCTATCCAACCTACTTAAATTAAATCTTAATTATAATTGAAATATATATATATATATAATAAATACATGAATTGGATGTGATTTGAGTCCATAAAATCGGTAGCTGTTATGCCATTAAAATCTGTCTTGCTTTTCGAAGCACTTATAGAGAAGGAAATGAAATGACTTATGAGCCTACGTCAGAACCAACCGCTCCCGGATTGCGCTGCCACAGTTTTGGCGGGAGCGAGCAACGCAGCTTCGCGCGCTTTCTCTTCACCACTGCGGGAAACGAGACTCGGGGCCCACCCCACCTGCTTCAGTTCCGTGGCCCCCAAACCTTCTCCCCCAATTAGTTATTTCTCGGTCAAATAGGAAAAGAATCGAACGGCCTGATAAAAACATGGGTTGGTGTCGTCGATGCATGCGTGGATGGATGTCATGTCGTTGATGACATGAACGAAACTATATATATATATATATACTTTTTTGTATTACCATTCATATATAATTATTATTTAAGGTCCTACAACTAGTTAGAATAAATGATTGACGGATATGGTTCCTTAGTTAACTAAGTTTCGACTTAGGAATTATCATGAATTATATTATTTGCTTTTCTTTTTGGAAATTCTATTTACAATTGGCTGTCCTGTCCATGCCATCTTGCGATGGAACTAAAACCCCGTAATTACATGGGAAAAGTGTGGTGTGGTTGGTAGCTCATGCAACTTGTGCTGGAGGAAGGTTGTAGGAGACTGGTCCAAAACCTGGGAATTGGGGAGTGAAGTATGTATCGAACCAATTTGGGTTTAAAGTTTTTAGATCTTTGATAAGTTCGGATTCAAATAAAATGAGATTTAAGTAAATTCTTTTTTGTTTTTCAAGCCACATCTAAAGGTTTGGATGTGACAAAAGTAGGTTCATGAGATTCATGAAGCAGTGTGTGATTACCCAATTTGAAAGGGTTAATTCTGATCAAATATATTACCAATTTGATAGGATATGATTAGGATAATGCGGTTTCATACCAATTTTTAATATTCTTTTGTTTAATTATATTGTCATATTTTTTTCAAAGTTAAAAATATTATATTAATTTAGAATAGGTCTCGTTTCAGCTATCCTCCATCATGCCATAAATCCATAAATTTAAATTCAATTCTCAAATTTCATGAGAATTAAATTTAAAGGATACTAACAATTATGATATCTTTTTTTTAATTGATATAATATTTTTTATCTTTAAAAAATAATATGATAAAAATAATTAAATATAAGAATATTAAAAATTGACATGAAATCCGTGGATTACTCATTTAATTTACCAACAACGTTTCCTTAAACCATGGTAATATAATTCTTTTAACTTCTCAATCACGAAATCTACTCATTCAAATTATATGATGTCACCGTAACTTGGTTTCCAAGCATCTCACGGACGGCCGCGATCCTCTCTCGGATCATCGCCGTAATGTCATCAACCTTCTTACCTAATCTTATCACCATCATGCCACCCCCATGCTATCGTGCCTCTACGAACCATAGCATCCATCAATGTTATTATCTATACGTGTTCATCGTTTACTCCCATCGAACACCTGACATAACACCTCCCTTCTGGGACCCAAATATACTCGGAAGGAATGTATCTCAGCGAGTAGCACAGTAACGAGTACGACAAAGCTTTAACATTTGCCGTCGTGCTTCGTGTCGTGCCTATAACGCACTCCCTCGACCACTTCCGAGACGGTGCAGAGGAGAATAAAAAGGAGGTCCGTTTTCTATTCTTTCGACCACTGCTACAAGACCGTCGTCCTGTTGGGTCTTCCTTCTCTTGCTTCCTCTTGTGGACGCTCCGGTGAACAAAGCAGAGTAGGATAGCAAGAGCAGATAGAAAGGGATTTATGTGGGCGGTTGCCGTACCCCTATTGGTCTTCTTCCGCTTCCTGTTATCCGCAAACGAAGGACAACCAGTTCTCGAGAGGTTTGGCCGTCCTTCTTCTTCTTCGGCAGTGTGCATGAAACAGAGGCTTCTGTGCCTGGTCTCCATGCGCTTCATGCACATCTGGTATAGATCTACGTGAAAAGCAGTCTCTTAAACTCACCAGTTTTGTTGTGTTGATGGTATTGAGATGTTCACCCGAATGCTTTGATCTTGCAGGGCTGGTTTTGGTTTCGGAGTGAAGTATTTCGGTTTCCTGCACATAGATCGGTGTTCCATCCTCGCCCTCACATAACAGCAGGAGTTTCTTTCAAGGTGCCGTATTCTTCGCGTTCAGAGTCTCGAATTGACGCTGGTTGTAGTTCTGTTGCAAAGAAGAAAGGTGAAGGATGTTTGCTCTGTGCGAAGGCAGGACGAGGAGGAAGAGGAAAACGAAGAGATTGGATCGGTTGGACTCGTCCGATTCCGATCGGATGAAGAAATCGCAAGGATTGTCATCTTTCCGGCCCAATTCCAGGAAGCATTTGAACGGCCTGATCGGGTCGGGGAAGGCCGCTAGAAAGGTTCGCATCTTTTTTGCCGACCCGGACGCCACGGACACCTCCTGCAGCGAAGACGAGGAGGACAAGTTTGGGACCGAATCGAAGAGGAGGAAGCGAGTACTGTACGAGATTCCTTTGTCCCCTGCAGCTAAAACCCTAGAGATCCAAAGGGTATCACAGCATAGGGCGCCGAAATCGCTAACGTCGTCCACCTCAGCCGCTTCGGGGAGGTATAAGGGTGTCCGTCAGAGGCGGTGGGGGAAGTGGGCGGCGGAGATCAGAGACCCCATCCGCGGCGTCCGCCTCTGGCTCGGAACCTACGCTACCGCCGAGGCAGCGGCCGAAGTGTACCGGGCGGCCGCGAGGCGTATCGAGGAGGAGAAGCGCAGCCTGCTCCACCATCGCCACGGGCCTTCCAATGACAGTGCAGGGTCTGTCTCGTCCTCCTGCATGTCGGCACCCGCCGGGGTACCACCCTCCCCATCCTCCGTCCTCGACATCTCCTTGGCCGCCAAGCCCAAAGGGAGACCCGCCGCGGAATTGTTGGAGGAGCTCTCGATGCCGGAAATGGAGTTTGGGCTCGACGAGGAGCCCTTTTTGGTGGGCGAACTCGGCGAGGATGCGATCGGCCTCGATGATCTGCCGCTCAGTGAGCACCAGTTCGACGGTGACGATTTCTCCTTCCTCGATTCCTAGTCGGAGCCCCCAAAACGGTTCAAGATTAAAAGCGTATGCCATTTCGTATGCGGATGGCAGTTAAGTAATTATGTAAACATGATTTATGAAGGAGTACGTACGTGTTCATGTCTTAGCTCTAAGAATTAGTCGTAGTTAAGTTGGATGTCGTTGGCGATTTCTCTCAAATAAATGTATTCCAAGGTCCGATTTCAGTGGGAATCTATGGTATCATCTGCCGGGCTTGTCAAGTACTTATAAACCCAATCTTTGCTATGATTGGGTTTATGAATTTTAATAATGTTATATATTTATACTTAATTAATTTAAGATCCGTATATGTTTATACTTTTATCTGATATCGAATGCTGTTAAGAAAGATAAAAGATCCGGAAACTTTTGAACCATATCTAGTTCCTGTGGGCGATGGGTTTTATTATATGCAATCTTATTGGGTCGGGTCGAGCTTTGGGTTTGGGTGAGACGTTATGTGGCTCCGAACCTTCAACCCGGTTTGGTTTGGCTGCGTTTGTTTGATATCGGGATGAGGGTTGGTTGTTCGAGTGTATGCGTGTCTTTTTCTTTTATTATTATTTTTTCTGTGTCAAATAAAATAAAATAAAAGGATAGGTGGAGGGGAAGTGCGCCGGAGCGGTCGAAGAATGGCAACGGGAGGCAATCTGAAGGGCGTGGCGATCATCAGCGGCGGCGACGCCGTCCGAGGTTCTCTTCACTTCATCCACGACACGTCCACCGGTCGGCGGTTGCTACGCTCGGATAGATTTCTTGGAATCCTCATGCTGCCGTCTCCTCTCCTCTCTCATTCTCTCCTCTTTCGTGGTCGTTTTCTACCTGCAGGGCACACGCATGTGAGGGGGAGGATCAGCGGACTCGCGCCTGGTCTCCATGGCTTCCACATCCATTCTTTTGGTGATACCACCAACGGCTGCAACTCCACTGGTAACCCTCGAATCTCTTTCTCCTCAATCTTTTCTTATTCTTTTTGTTGTTTTGTTGCTGCGAATTGATCGTTTGTAGTAGAAGAACTTGTGAAGAGGGAACCTTCTATAAAAGCCAAATACAAAAAAATCTCCATGTGTTAAGTTCAATCATGCTTATTGGTGATGGATTAACTAGCTTAATCCTGATGAAAAAAGCGAGATGATTTGTGGTTAATAGATAGATAATTATATACAAGCTCAAATAAGTACCACTCCGTGGAGACACTCTTTTTTCAAGTTATTGTGTGTTTCCTTTCATGCTTTTAATGAGATCTTCTGAACTTCTATTCATAAGTTAAACATTTCTGTCAAAATGAATTGGTATTGAGGAAGTTACCCAAGGTTTTTATAGACTTGGCCTAACCTGACCTGTTTCACTGGAGCTGCTGAGTTGCTTCAAGTCTGACAAGCAAGTCTTTTAGCAAGAAACAATTAGCTACTACTATCCCTGCCAAATTTCCCTATTAGCTTTCACTATTAGAAGCGATTAAATTCATTATAACAAAGAAAGGTCATGAGTTTCAAGTAAAGCAAAGGCATATACTCAGTAACCAGAATGATAGAGCCTAGGTTTGGGCTGGTTTAGTGAATCCTTTCTGTTTGTCCAACTCCATCTACGACTATTTCCTTATTATTGATAGTT